ATGGAGGCTCATGATGCTCTCATCTAGGGAGCTATGTAAATCAGACCTGGGAGTGGTATGAGGGGACACTTTGTGGAACTTTCAAATATGCCTTTGTGTGTCTGCTCAAGGCTCAGTTCCTCAGAGAGGCTGGGCCTTCCTGCTACACAAGTTACAAAGAAAGTGCTTTTTCTTCAACCACCCTGCGCTACATGGTGCACCCTGACAACAATCCCCCTAAGTTCAGTTCTAGGAGACCCGATGCTCTCTTCTGACCTCCAGGGACACCAAGCACACACGTGGTGCATATACATATGTGGAGGTAAAACACTCATACACATAAAAAAGAATTCAAGGGTATCTTAGGCTACTTAGCAAATCTGAAGTCAAGTTAGGCTACTTGAGGTTCTGTCTCAAAAAGAAAAAGCGAAGTTTATATAGCGGTTCCATAGAGTAAATCTGAGTTAGGGGATGAATAAATTCTATACTCAGGGCCCCAGAAACACTAGCTTCAGTTCAAGTGCTAAGCAGCTTCACATACCCAGTGTCTGTCACACCACTCAGGGATTATAGCATTGCCACCAATGGAAAAATGTCGGGCAACTCTATAAGGGGGCTTGTCCACCCTTCGGGGGTCCTCGGGCTGGGCGCCAAAGTAACCCTCCTCTTCCTTGACTATTTCCACCTGTTGCTCCCTCCCAACTTCTAGTACATAGACCTAGGTCTTAGCCCTACATGGGTCCGAAATGCCCCTAATTGTTTCTTGGTTCAAGAGTGCATCTAGAAATATGTAGTGTCCTCACTGACCACATGAACACTAGATGCTCAGCCCCTCCACGAAGGGCCCAGAGCACCGACTACATTGGATAAAGGGCGCCAGTGCCCTCGCCTGCACTCTCCTCCATTCTGGCAAATCAGTTTCCTTGATTGCATATATGGCAAACTCTGGCTTTCTCTGAATCTCAGCTTCCCCATGTACTCAATGGGAAACACACACCTTTCCATATCTGTGCCTAAGAGTGTCTGGTGTAGCGATATTTTGTTTGTAATCTAACAAATAAAACTTGCCTGAAGATCAGAGTGTAGAGCTAAGTCACTACTTAGCCACAGAGGCCCGGTAGTGGTGGCACACACCTTTCATCCCAGCAGATGGATCTCTGTGAGTTCAAGGCCACATTAGGCTAAACAAAATAGATCCAATTCAAAGGAGAAACCAAGTCGGGTGGTGGTGGCTCACACCTTTAATTGCAGTACTTGGGAGTCACAGCCGTTAAACTCAGCACTAGGGAGGTGGAGACAGGAAGGGATATGGCTGGGCAGGCAGGAGGAAAAAGAAGTTGGAAGAGTTCAGTCTGATGATTTGTAGAGACTGGATCACCCCTCAGTCTGAGGGTTTGGCAGAGGTAAAAGGTCTCTCTAGTGGCTGCACTGCTTCTCTGATCTCTCAGCTTGCACACCCTAGTATCTGGCTCCGGGTTTTTATTATTAAGACCAATTAGAATTTGATTTATAGTTTGGCATCCTCTGAGCTTTATTTACCCCATCTGATTACTGGCAAGAATCACAGTCTCCCTCCACACCACCCCCCTTGGTTTTGAGACAGGGTTTCATGTAGCCCAGACTAGCCTCCAACTCGCTAAATTGCTGAAAATGACCTTGAACTTCTGATTCTCCTGTTTCCACTTCCAGAGAGCTGGAATTAAAGTCTTGAGTGACTTACTACACCCCATTTTAGGCTGTGCTGAGGATCGAACCCAGAGTGCACGCTAGGTAAGCACTCTACCGAATGAGCTATACCTCCAGCCCTGTTCCCATTTTCGATACCCATCAAGCTCCAGGTTTCAGTTTGTCCAAACGTTCAGCAAGAAATATCACATTTGGGCTGGAGAGATTACTCATTGGTTAAGAGCACTCACTGCTCTTCCAGAGTTCCTGAGTTCAATTCCCAGCAACCACATGGTGGCTCACAACCATCTGTAATGAGATCTGGTGCCCTCTTCTGGCATGCGGGCATATATGGAGGCAGAATGTCGTATACATAATAAATAAATAAATCTTTTTAAAAAAAGAAATATCACATTTTCCTTTTTGTGTCAATATCTGGTGTAAGTGTTGCAGCTCGTATGGAACAGTATCCCGGCAGTTGAGAGCCAAGGAATACCACAGAGTCACTGTAAGCGTAACATCTTTTAACTCTACATCTGGTCTTCTCCAGCCTCTGTTTTCCCATATGTTCAGTGGAGCACGAATACCTCATCTAATCTGGCAATGTTTTCTTTGGGCATTGGTTTCCCCCTTTACGAGATGTCAAGATTGCGCCCTACCACACCAGAGCAAGCATCTGACCTCTAGACCCCAGTCTCTCCAAATGCTCAACCAACAGAAACACCCGTTCTCTAACCCTCTGTCTTGAATGGCTTTCTTTGCCTGAACGGAAAGGGGAGAGGCAGGATGGAAAGATGACACACTGTACATTCCAGTTCTTTATGGATGGTTTAGGAGACTTCACGGTAGCTAACTTCAGTTTACTGGTCATTCAAAGCAAAGGAACGGCTCTGAGGATGAGGGCACGCAACGGGGAACTGTTCTTTTGCAGGTCCCTCTCATTGGCCACGCGCCAACATCCCCCCCTCCCACCGCGCGCACCCACTAGAGGGGCCGGCCGACTCCGGCGTCGGAACCTTCGAGTGTGGAGCGTGCGTTTCTGAACGGCGCTCTTTCCCAGGGACGCCGTCGCCCCTCGCGCCCCTGCGCCCCCCGACCCGCGTCCCCGGCGCCGCCGGCCCGGAGCTACCCGGAAGCTCCCTCCTGCAGCGGCACTCGTCAGGGCAAGCCCGGGTCCGTCCGGGACCTCGGCCCCGTTCTCCCCCGGACCCGAGAGGCTGCTGCACCGGGTACGGGGGCCGGGATGGAGGGAGGAGCCTGGCTTGGGCAGGGCGCGAGGCCGGCAGGGCTCTGGGTGTGGGTCGGGGCCGTGAAGCTAGGAAAGCGACGCTCAGAGCCCGAGAGAGGGCCTTCTGGAAGACAGGGCTCCTTATGGAAGCCAATGGAGTAGGAAGCCCTGGTGATATAACGGGACTGGGTGATTCAGAGGACCACGGTGCTAGAGCGCCCCGGGCAAGGGGCCATACATCATAAGAAGCCGGGAGGTGAAGAGAGACAAGAGATGCCAGCTGCATCTAGAGAGGAGGGACCAAGGTTAGGGAGAGCTGGTGTGAGAACGGGAAACCAAAAGGTCCAATGTCTGACTGCAAGCGGGAGGAGGCTCCATGGTGGTGGCGGCGGCGGTGAACAGAGAAACGAAGATGTCAGGATACTTTCCGGAGGAGGGAAGGGGGCTGGGGATGGTTGTGAATGAAATGCAACAAGATGGGGGCGCATATAGGAGGCAGGCAGTTGAAGATAAAGTAGAGACGATGTAGGAAGAGAATGGCGAGACCTTTAAGTGGACATAAAAGACCCATGAGTGGAAAGTGGGGAACTGGGTTAGTGGGACTCTGGGCAAGAATCTAGGGAAGAAACTTGAGGCCACGACTACTGTGGAGATTTGGGAGCCCTGAGGAGGATCTAGTGGGGTGGAGATCTCCCACCCCCAGGGTGTTGTGGGACCTGCGGGAGAGGATTAAGCCAGAGCTTGAGTAGAGCTCTGGGAAGGAGGGAAAGGTAGATGAGAGAAAAATCTCGGAGGCCAGCAGGGCCTGGAATGGGAGGCTAGAGATGTCCTAAGCTAAAAGGAGAGAAATGGACTTGGAGATGGATTGTGGCGGGTGGGGTGGACGGAGGGAATCCGAAGGATGTCCGAGGTCCTGACCTGAGACTGGTGGAGGAAACCCAGAGATGGGAACTGGAGTCAGTTTTCACTTTGTAGGAAGGTAGGTCAGTAGCACAGAGTCTGGCAGAGAATGGAAACACCTTTTTAGGAATTTTTTTTTTTTTTCCTGAAAGGAAGAGACAGACCTTAACTTCTCTTCCCTCCGCCGCTCCCAGCTGCCGCTCCAGATGCTGCTGCTGCCGCCGCGGCCACCTCACCCTCGGTCCTCCTCCCCGGAGGTCATGGACCCACCGCCCCCTAAAACTCCCCCATTTCCCAAGGCGGAAGGCCCCTCCTCCACTTCTTCCTCGGTGGCGGGGCCGCGGCCACCGCGGCTGGGCCGCCACCTACTCATCGACGCCAACGGGGTCCCCTACACGTACACCGTGCAGCTGGAGGAGGAGCCTCGGGGCCCGCCGCAGCGCGAGGCGACCCCGGGAGAGCCAAGTCCTCGCAAGGGCTACAGCTGCCCAGAGTGCGCTCGTGTCTTTGCCAGCCCTCTACGGCTGCAGAGCCACCGTGTGTCGCACTCGGACCTCAAGCCCTTTACGTGTGGTGCTTGTGGCAAAGCCTTCAAACGCTCCAGCCACCTGTCGCGGCACCGCGCCACTCATCGCGCGCGCGCTGGCCCACCGCACAGCTGCCCGCTCTGTCCACGTCGCTTCCAGGACGCCGCAGAGCTGGCGCAGCACGTGCGCTTGCACTGAGCTTGGCCCTGCCATCTCTGGGCCATCACGTCTGACCCACACAGCGTCACTGCCTTACCCTAGGCCTCAGTTTCCCCACCTATCCCCCAAAGAGAAACATTTTGTTTTTTTCTCCCGTCTAGCTGTGTGATGTAGACCAAAGTCGTTGCCCCTCTGGGCCTGGGTGTCAGTTGGAACTGGGCTTCAGTCTGGCTGTGCTGTGTAAGCCTTTATTTACAACTGACGCGACCTCTCCTGAGTCTTGGTTTTCTACTCTTCCCAAGTGATGAGGTCCTTGTGGAAGACATGACAAAAGCACCGGCACTGCCTGGATCATCTCTGTACTTCCCCGTATTGCCCACGACTCCTCATTCTTTGCCCAATAAACATTCCGCACATAATTCTCAAGGCTCTTTCTTGCATGTGGGTTGTGTTGGGAGAAGGGAGATTGAATCCGGACCGTTAGCACCTAGGAACCTTGTGCTCGAAGTGAGTTCCCAACCGGAGCTGTTTTCTGATGCTCAGGCGACCCACCCTCCCTTAGACCCTCGTCTCTCCCTGGGTTTATATTTCCCAAATCCGGTACTGCCAGGTGCTGGCTGTAGGTAGCCAAGGGTCCCCGTTCCTGTGCTGCCCGGACCCGAGAGGCTGATGCACTGGGTACCAGGCAGGAAAGGAGGAATCGAGACCCAAGCAACCGCGGAGGGGCGGGGCCCGTTCGGGCGACATCCCAATGGGCAGCTTTTCGAATACTTGCCTGGGAAATCTCCAAAGGTGGGGGCTGCAGACCTAGAAAGAACTACGGGTGGGGCGTGAAACGGGAGAATCTAGACAGACCCGCTTTTAGATCGGATGGTGGTCAAAATGCAGGAGAGTCCTGGAGGGCCACAAGATGACGTGCATGATGGCTGGTCGGTGACCTGAGGGCACTCGGGGGAGGGGACAGAGTGAAAGCGACTGCATGAATATAGTGGGTAGTAGGGCCCAGAAGACAGAAGAAAGATTATAGGGGCCTTATGGGGACATCACAGAGGACCTTGAGTGGAGTACATAGCAAGAACAGAGTCCTTGTTCCCCTCTCCGGTTCGATCTCATATTCTCTAGCATCCATCAGGCCTCATTTGCATCTATGGATGCTGGTGCTGCTACTTTGCTGCCTCCAGACCTCAGCACTTCCCTCTATAGAGGCCATGGAAGGCCCCCTCTCTCGAACAGGTGGGTCTCCAGAACCTGGGCCTTCTTTCTCCACAGGATCTCCCCACACTTTGTCCCCTCCAAGGCTCAACCATTATCCTGTCATTGACACCCAGTGTGTCCCCTACATAGTGCTGGTGGATGAGGAGTCACAGAGGGAGGCTGGGGTCAATGGGACTTCGGTTCAGAAAAAATGTTACAGCTGTCCAGTGTGCTTTAGGGACTCTGAGTACATCTTACCTTCAGCGACACAGCATTACCCACTTGGAGGTGAAGCCCTTCAAATGCAACACCTGTGGGAAGGCATTCAAGTGGGCCAGCCCTCTTGAGCAGACTGCTCCATACACGGGGCAGGTGGTGGTTAGCCCTACAGCTGTTTGTTCTGCCCTCGCTGTTTCCGGGACGAGGGCAAGTTGACCCAGCACATCAGTGGATACTCAGGGGACCACCCATTCCAGTGCCCACATTGCCTGCGTCGCTTTATGGAGCGGAACAAATTACAGAAGCACACTCGGTGGAAGCAACCGCTCCTGGGATCCCAGGGATCGAGGGGCTCCTGAATCTCTCAGACATGGACCTGAGTTGCAGGCTGGCTTTCAGGGCCATAGACACAAACCCAGGCCAACCTCTTTGAAGCAAGCCTTGCCTGGAAGAGTCTCTGAGCCGTCAATACATCACAGTACTTTGGACCTATGATGGGAATGCACCCTCAGAGAAAACAGCCCTGCACCTTGAACACTGGGAGTCCGGACAGGAGGAATGAAGGACAGTGTTGCTTGGGAAACTTGCCTCGGAGGTTTTGGTGGGCAGTCAGAAGTCTCCTTTATTTTGACACTGGCCCTAGACTGGACACCAAATAAACACCCCACTCTCAATTAGCACTTCAATTTTTGAGATGTCTTAGTTTACGCTCACCACCTGGTACCACGATGGGAAAGTCTGCCCTCCTCCGGAGTTAGGCCTACTTCAGTTCCTCCAAATCTGCCATCTATTTATTTATTGAGACAAGGTTCTAACGTTGCTCTGGGTACCATTAGACTTAGATCTTGCTTCTACTTCCTGAGTTCTGGAACTCAGGGTTTTTTTTTTTTTTTTTTTTTTGCATGCTAGGTACTCTACAGACTGAGACAACATTCCCAGCACCTTTGGAAATATGAGTCTAAATGTTACCCCTCCCCCACCACTAAATTACAGTCCACATTAACAGACTTAAAAAAAGGGCAGCCTAGAACAGCACACCAAACGTATGTGAAACAATTTGAACGGTAGTTACCTTTAGTGTGCACAGGACACCTTGATATATATTTGAAATCTAGAGTTCACCTTCCTATATACAATTTCCACTGATCTAGGGCAGGTGATTCCCACTGGACTTGCTGACCCAGGCTGCAGCTGTTTTGTAAAGTGATGCGCAAGAGGGAGCTGCTTAGTTTCCCTCTGCAAGGTTAGTTAAAGCCATGCCTCCATCAGGGCTTCAGAACCCCAGAGAGGATGTTGCTTGTGAAACGGAGAGGCAGGTGGAACCTTGCTGCAGGCCTAATAAACATGTCTTCTCCGTCCTCTTTCACGCCTGTCTTGTGCCAGATGCAGTTAGCCTCTTTATACGACTTCTTTTGGGGCAGTTTGCAGCGGAGGGGTGAGTGGGAGTGTCTTAAGGCTGTGCTTCTATTCCAAAAAGCTTGGATCTTAAGTCTCAAGAGTGAGGTCCCACTCTGGGTTGTGCCTTTGGTGTGTCACACCACTCGCAAAGACCCTAGAGAGTATGTTCCCACTTATCAGGTGAGTAAACTGAGGCTCTGGAGGAATGAGGCGGCAGGGATTGGAGTGTAGCTCCAATTGTGGGGACTATTCCTGACCCACACTTTGCGGAGAGGTAACCACCATACAACCCATTCTCACATCTGGTTCTCTTATTTCTCTAAAGCTTTTCTTCGTGGATGGGATTGGGAATTATGGCTGGCTGAGGAGTTTAAGACCAAAGGTGTGCATGCACTAGCCAGTTCTTCAGGGTTCATTAAAAGGAGACTTCAATTTTCCTTGCTGCCTCATACCTTCAGACTTTTCTTGGCGCAGTGAGCACATAGCCACTCACCCGGAGGACCCCCGGAGCCGCGTCAGCTGTGCAGGATGAGAATTTCATGAGGATCCCTGCCTGAGCTTTGGGAAGGGCGGGGGGTGGGTGGGAGTGGGTTGCAAGGGGCTATCGCGCAAGTGCGGCCCCGAACTCCACGCAAACGGCGGGCCTCACCTGGGCTCCAAGAAGAGGCGCATCTGGCCTGGCAGGCCGGATCCGCAAATGCCTGCGTCTCTGCGTGGTCCGCTATCCAGTTCCGAGACTCCCCCTCTTCTGCCGCCGTGCTAGATTACTGGTGGGTGGGCGCTTCTCTCCGCGACACTTTGCAGACGCTCCCCAACGCTGGGCATGGGCGCCGCCACCACCGTCGGTCCCAGGGCTGGAGTCCTTACGCGGGTGGGTGAGAGCCGGGCCCTGGCCCCTTGTATCCTTGCACCCAAGGGCGGGGAATGGTGTCCACTGTTGCCACTCCCATGTCGGTTGCCCATTCTGGGACCCTTCGACATGGTCGCCCCTTCCCACTCGTGGGACAAAGGGCGGGGGCGCATCCCCACACGTGACACCCCCCGCTGCGCACGCGGGCTTTGCTAACCTGCCCAAGTGCGGGAGGAATGGGCGGCTGGGACAGGGGAACGCTCGCAGGATGGACTCCCCCCCACCTCATGCGTGGAAGCTAGGGGTGGTTTCTCCCTTCCATTTATGGCTTTGGGTCTGGAGATGGCCCATAATGAGGGTCCTTCGTATTCAGGCCAAAGTGTCCCTGTGGTGTTGAGCCTGTGAAGAACCAAAGAATCTAAGGGCCGATCTCCTTCACGACCAAGAGTTCTCTCGCCGAGCCCCCTTGCTCTGGGTACACGATTTGGAAACCTCAGTGTCTCTGTCCAGGAATATGGGCTCTTTCCTCCCTCAGACCAGGGCTCCAGTCCGGTGATCCCTCCTTGCTCCAGAGGAACAGGTACTCCTCCGCTCCAGGAACTAACTGACTACATTTGGTGACCTGTTTCTGTCCAGTGCCCCTGAGGGCTCAGCTGCTGGGTCTGAAGGAAGCCTCGCTATGAATGACCGAAGCAACCGTAGGCGGACAAGTGAGGCACTTGGGGACCCTTTCCCCATCCTTGGCCCGACACTCTGGTTCCCTCTATCCAAGGGGCAGCTATGGTTGGGGGTGGTCTGAAAGGGCCAGGCCTCTTCTGGGGTGACCTGCACTGACCTCTCTCCAGTGAAGGACGAAGAAACCTTTGAGATCTCCATCCCCTTCGAAGAGGCACCCCACCTAGACTCACAGATTTTCCACAGTCTGAGTCCCTCTCGGAGAAATTTTGAGGGTGAGCTGAGAAGGGCGTGGAGGGACTGGAGTCAGGTGGGGTACTACCTCATCCTGGGGCATGAGGAACATGCACGAGGAACACCCCCTGCTGTTCCTAGAGCCTCCAGAGGACACCTCCCCAACCCTGACCCTAATGAACAGCGTTAAGGCCCAGCTGCACATGGCCCTGGAAAGGAACTCATGGCTGCAGAAGCGCATTGAGGACCTGGAGGAGGAGAGGGACTTTTTGCGGTGTCAGCTGGACAAGTTCATTTCCTCGGCCCGGATGGATGCAGGTGGGGGTGGGGACACACAGTTCTCCCAGGACCCGCAGAATCCAAACCCACTGTTGGGTTGACTGAGGGGGACTTGCCTTTTATCCTTCCACTAAGAACCGTGCTGACTTTAGGGGCCTCCCCAGCCATTCCTTTCGTTTTGTCAGACTCTCATTTTCTACCCTGTCATAGACTGCCCCATAATCCAGCAGCCTCAAACACTTGGGATGTCTCCCTGAGTCTGGGTTTCCAGCCCGGGCTCCTCATCTTAGGGGAATGGCCTTTATTTCCTTGTCAGTCTGCTGGATTTCTCAGAGGGGCCCTGCCTGCACCCCAGGACTTGTGGAAGATTCATTTATCCATTCACCAGAGGCGCCCCGGAATAACAGCCAGGGGCTTGTTTCCCCACCACCCTGTTCTACATAGCTTAGCTAACTAATGTTTTTCATTCCTCAAAGACTGTGGGATCTCAGAACTTCTTGTCCCCTAAACTCTGCCACAAGGTCATGGGCAGATTCTACCATTTTGCCTTGCTCTGATTATGACTAACAGCACGGTGGTGTCAGCTCTTCTGATAGGCAGGATCCTGTCTCCTTATTAATATGTGTTGTCTGCCATTCCGGCCACATTTCCCAGTCCAGGCTCCCCCTTTCTAGATCTTTAGCTCAGGTCTCATAGAACTTAACCTTTATTCAGGCCATAACCCCAACCTCTGTACCCAGCTGAGCTGCTGGCAGACTTTCTAGCTAATGTCAAAAGTTCCAGCAAAGGGCCTAAGGGTATTTTGAGGGTTTCAATTACTGGGGAACCAGCACTGGGATGGGCACCATGTATGTCCCTTGCTCCCCTCTTTCTACACTGGGAGCACTATCCTGGGTGACTCCACTCTTTCCTTGATATGGCGGGGCACAGAGTCCTAACTTCAGTTCCCTCAGGAGTCCCTCTTTTGTAAGATACTGAGTCTAAGCCTCAGCTAGCTCCCTATTTAGGTGAAGGTAGTTAGCTTCCCCAATATCCAAACTGAACTTTGATATTCAAACCTCTCACCCAGAGGCCTTGCCTGCTTCTTGGATTTTGACTACTCTCTGAAGGCCCCCCACAATATATTTTCCCTACAGAAACCCAGAATAGTCACAGATCCTCTGCTGAGTTCTCCGAATCCCAACTAGCTCTATACCATTCATCCTCAGGGGCTTCACCCTGTCCTCATTCCGAGGATCTGGTCTCCATGTTCATTTTCCCCCCTTCAGGGCAATGATAGGACATTATGTCACAGTTCATTTTTGTCTCTCTTTAGAGGACCACTGCCGGATGAAGCCTGTGCCACGGAGGGTTGATGGGGACAGCCGGGCTGGGGTTGGGGGAGAAGCCTCAGACCCTGAGTCGGCAGCCTCCTCATTCAGTGGGGCATCTGAGGACGGCAGTGCCAGTGAAAGGAAGAGACAGAAGCAGAAGGGAAGTACTGGCCGGAGGCGATTTGGGAAGCCCAAGGCTCGAGAGAGGCAGCGGGGTGAGTGGGTACACGTGATGGTGTGTTGAGGGGTACCCCCCAAGTATCGGTGTGAGTTCTGCAGCAATGCCCTAACTTACTCATATATAAAACAATCAGACCCAGCTCCATTTCTCAGCCCTTCTATGTGGTTCTGTGTTCATTTTAAATTTCGGTTTACACAAACTAGCAGAGTCAATTCTGTTTCCTCATCAGAAAAGAGGCCTCTGGGCACATGCGCAGCCTGCCTTCTTCAATTTCCCCCCAGGTCCATCTCCATTTCTTGCTCTGATTGCTACTGTTTTCCGTTTTGTTCTCCCTACTCTTCCTGTATGGGGCTCCTCCACTTCCTTGTTTTTTTCTTCTTTGCTTTCATTTGCTTTCTAACTTGTGTGCCTTTCACCCCATCTTTCCTCCTCATGCCTGCCCTCCTGTTTCTATCTGGGCTCACCCATGTCTCTGGCCCCACATGTCTGTCTTTCCCTGTTCTCTTTTTTTCTGCCCTTTTGGCCCTACAGTGAAGGACGCTGATGGGGTACTCTGCCGCTACAAGAAGATCCTGGGCACCTTCCAGAAGCTGAAGAGCATGTCTCGAGCCTTTGAGCACCACCGTGTGGACCGGAACACGGTGGCGCTGACCACGCCCATCGCGGAGCTGCTCATCGTGGCTCCCGAAAAGCTGGCGGAGGTGGGAGAGTTCGATCCGTCCAAGGAACGCCTGCTGGAGTACTCCCGCCGCTGCTTCCTGGCGCTGGACGACGAGACTCTCAAGAAGGTGCAGGCTCTAAAAAAGAGCAAGCTGCTCCTGCCCATCACCTACCGCTTCAAGCGGTGATGCCGCCGCCCCGCACGCCTTCCCGCCCCTCAGACCGCTCGCTAGACCGGGCTTCCCGGGGCGCCGCCAGGGCCAGATGCTGCCCTTTCCTGAGCACTGGGCCCTGCCCCTCGGACGCCCACGCTGGGCACGCCATCTCCATTCTCCTCCGCAAGGGCGGCCACCTCGGTCTCCCTAGCCAGGAGTAGCCCATTTGCATCTTACATGAAGACAGAGCATTATTCAGAGAATTTAAATTAAAGAGACATGAACATTTTCAATAAATTGGGCCCCAGATCTTCCTAGAAAGGGGATGGATGGGTCGGGAGGGGGTGGCCGTCGCCAAGGAGATCGAGATGGGAGCGCTCAAGCAAAAGCCTCTAGAGAAGTTGGGGAGGACAGGGTGTAATTATCCCCAGGGGGCAGAAGTGAGAAGGGGGAGCAGCAGCCTCTTCCCAGAGAAAACTAGGTAGGAAGCAGACTCTAAAGCGCAGCGGCTAGGGCACAGATTCAATGACCTTTAGCTGAGTCTGCCTCGTAGAGGTACCCGGGGGCGCTATGTGGATTCATTTCTGCCCGCCCGCCAGGGGTCAGGAGATTGCAGTCCCAGAGGTGGCACGTCCTGCGCTTGCGCAGTAGGAACGGGTGGGGGGGGTCTAGTTAACGCGATTGCCAAGGCAACCAGGAGATCGCAGTCTAGTTTAACGCTCCCCCACCCCCCACCCCCCCCCCCCCCCCCCAAGTCCCGCGCACGCGCAGTGCGCATTTAGACTGGCGTATCTTCCCAAGCGCTGAGAAAACGTGCCTCGGACTGACCGCTACGCAGGCGCACAAACCCCTCTCACCGCCTCCTTAATCACCATGCGCAGGCGCTCCAAGCCGCGCAAAAAACCTCCGCAGAGGCCTCGAGCAGCTTTTGCCCCACTGACTGCTATTGTTTCGCACACCTTCTCTGGCCTTCCACGAGGTCGGCCATTCTTCCATTCCCCCCTCACCAAGAGTCAGGTGCCAAGAGTGAGACCCGCCCCCTCTTTTGTAGCTCTCCGACCCACCTCTTATCTGTACTCCCTCCCTTTTTTTTTTTCTGCTCTTGAAGCCGAAAGAAGCCGAAGCAACGGCGGAAAAAGCCGAAGTTTTCCCTTGCGCGTGAGGCCTTCCCGAAGCAGTGGCGGAAGGGAACGAAATTCTACGGAAGAGGCGGAGTGACCAAGTGGAACCTCCGGAAAGAGCCGAAGATTAGATTCGGGCTTAATCTCTTGAGGGGTCGTGAGCGAGCGCTGGAAACCTTCGGAAAGAGCCGAAGGTCTGGACGGTTAGGATTGTTGGAAGTGACCGATTGCTTGGACAGGGCCAGCGAGGGGTGTGACGAGTCTCAAGGAAGCCAGAGACTGAGACGGTTTGAGTTGTAGGAAAAACCTGGACCTTTACAAGGGGCTGGCGTAGGGGAACGCGAGGACCCACGGAATCCTCCGAACGTTGAGACGCTTGTCTCCGAAAAGTTACCGAAACTTGGGCAGCCTGCAAAATTCTCGCATTGGGTGGTTTCGAGGTTAGCCGCAGCCTCCTACAGACTTCTCCGTCTACAGTCCGAGAATAGCCGTCTGGCTTCGGAGCCGGGCTCGGGGCAGTTCGCGGGGGGGGGGGGGGGGGGGGGGGGGGCGGGGGGGGGGAGTCGGGGGGGGGCGGGGGCTGGGGGGCTTGATTAGGTAGACGATTGAGTGCCGGCGGGGGCCGGAAGTAGCCGAAGCCAGCGGCGGAAGTAGCCGGAGCGGGCGGGCGGCAAGGCGAGGCGAGAGCTGCACAGGGCCCTACGCGGCCGCGTAAGCATGTCGGACTTCGACGAGTTCGAGCGGCAGCTCAACGAGAATAAACAAGGTGAGGGCCCCGGGGCTGTGGGGTGGCGTCTTGCTTCGTTCCGTGCCCCTCACCATTTCCCCCTCTTGTTCCCTCCCTGGGGCCGCATGATTCTCCAACACCCCCCCACCCCGTCCGTGCCGCGCGCGCCTCGCTCACGTGACCTCCCCTTCTCCGAGCTGAGTGAAGGGGCCGCGGGCGCGGCTTAGGGCGCGTGCGCGCAGCAGTATCCCGCGCCCACGTGGTCCCGGCTGAGGAGGCGCGTTGCGTCGCGTTGGCGCGTTGAGAGCGCGCCGGATTACTCTACGTGAGGCTTTTTTATTTTTAAATTTTTCTCTCTCATTTGAGAAAGAGATAAAATTTGGTCTCCTAATCCAGTCTTTTTCCTCTTGCTACCTTTGCACTTCCGCTTCCGGTCGGGCGTACTTTTCCTTTCTCCACGCCCCCTTTGTTTCCAAAATGGCGGTGGTGAATCCCCCCTCCTTTCCTTCACGTGGACTGGCGCTGCAATCTCCCGGTGCTTGCAGGTTACGTGCCTGTTCATATTTTTTCGATGTCTCCAGAACCCTTCCTCCAGAGTATTTCTGTCCCATCCGCTACATGGCCCTTTAGGTATAAATGTGTCCTACACCTGTTTGCCCGCCAAAGGGGGAAGCCTTTGCATTCTTTGTGCCCCTTATACACATAAATCATGTGTGCCTTGGGGTTTTTGGCGGCCGACAATTTCTGTGTTTTCCATATCCCTGATTTTAGACAAACCCAAAGTCCTGTATAATTCCAAACTCGTGCACTTGGACCCAGTCTCACTGTGAGGATAAAATAGTCAACACAATGGGAAAGAGGGAGCTGGCCCAATGGCCTTAATGTGTTAGTGAAGGCAGGTACTCAAAGGTAGGGTCCTATACTAGGGATTTGGACCAGAAAGAAAGGCAGGCTATGTCGATGCTGATGAGTTTAGGGATTCCGAGCAAAGAGTTGAATTGGAAGACATACCTACAACCTTTTTCCATTTTGGTTTGAGACTGAAGAAGGGCTTAAGTTTCTTGCGGATCGGGGCTTAAGCTGTCTTGTGTTCCTGGTTGGATGAGACATTCAGAAGTCTTTGGATTGAAGCTAGAATTGGGAGGAGAGTACCTGAAACAGTGCATGTGGAGGAAGTAATTTTCCTGAGTGCCATGGTGTGTTTTCTTTGAGTAAGTGTACTGCTTAGGAGTGTACCTGAGTTCAAATACCTGCATTGCTGTTGGTAGGATGATGTTCTAATACCTTTGTATCTCACCTGTCTGTGATCACTGTATGCTTACTGGGTTTTGAGATTAGTAATGGTGGTACACATTGGTTACAGTTGTAATTAAACTCCGAATTTACCAAGTGTAAAGGCAAGCCAATTTGGTAAGAACAAATTCTCTCTCTCGAGGCAGGGCTTCTCTGAGTAGTCCTAACTGTCCTTGAACTCTCTCAGTTCAGTAGGCGAGGCTGACCGCGAACTCAGAGATCCACTCACTGTGCTGTGCTCTATTGCCGTCTAGCTCTCAATAGTTTCCTAAGTGAGTCATTTGTAACAGACTTCTGAGGACAAAATAATTTGTTGTTGATTGGGCAGGAAATTGAGGCTCATAAAGTTTTTTTCCTCTTAAAAAAGAAAACTCTAGGCATTATTTAGTCGAAAGCTGGAGCTGAGATGAAATGAGCAATGTGTATATGTAGTATGTGACTTGGCTTATGCTTACACTTAAGTGTTTAATTAGCTATCTTTGCTATTGTGAAGAAAGGTAGGCTGGTGTAGGAGGGAGAATGGTGGGGAAAGTGGACACCCGTTGTTACTCCTGTAAGACCTCTTGAGACCTAAGTGCTGTAGATGTGACCTTCATTCAAGGAAGGGAAACCTGGATGTTAAAGATAGTTCCTACTTTTATTTAGAGCTCTGATTGCAAAGCCAGTTCCACTGTGCTCCGAGTGGAGTTGCTTTAGCTGGCCTTAGAGGCTGTGGTAGATGGGTTGTAGTTCCAGAATGTCCTTGTTGGTGTTGGAAACAGGGCCTAAGAACAGGCATTTAAGGGTTGGTTGGTGGAGCTGTGTACATAAGACAACTGTAGCAAATGAAGTTCCATTTTCTTAGCTGTCCAGCTTCATTATGTGGAAGGTTCTTGCCTTTCTGGAATGCTGGAAGAAAGTTCTACCACCTTGTCACCCTGCTTGTGTGTATTGTCTCTTTCCTAGCCTTCCTATGTTCTTCAACCTCAGCCCCTTTCCAGTTCCCTAAGTCCAGTTTCCCTGTCCCAGGTACCCAATGCTGCCACTACTTCCTCTCTGGAGTTCCTGTGTTTGAGGCTTAGTAGCAGGAAAGATAGTTGGGATTTATTGGCTTTTTGAGACGGGATTTCTTTGTAGCTTTGGGGCCTGTCCTGGAACTAGCTCTTGTAGACCAGGCTGGCCTCAAACTCACAGAGATCTGCCTGTCTCTGCCTCCTGAGTGTTGGGATTAAAGGCATATACCACCATTGCCCAGTGACATTGGGGATTTATAAGTGGCCCCACTTTTAGGTGTGGAGCCAGAGCTGCCTGGTGCCATGCCTGTCCCAATATTCCACATTACTTGCCTCTGTCTAATTCTTTGTTTGTTTGTTTTGTTTTTTTTTTTTCCCCCAGGCAGGGTTTCTCTGTGTAGTTTTGGAGCCTGTCCTGGTGGCACTAGCTCTGGCCTCAGAACTCACAGAGATCAGCCTGCCTCTGCCTCCCACGTGCTGGGATTAAAGACCCCGGGGCCTCTAATTCTTTATTGTTGTTTTAGTCTTTGCATGTGTGTATGCAAATAATAAAATCCTTTGTCATTGGTAGTTGTACCCAGATTCTGGAGAACTCTCGTTTCTGCCTGGTCCTCAAGAATACAGCCTGGTGCCTAATTTACTGGCATTACAATTGAGTTTGGGCTTCACAGTTTCCTAGCTGTTGGGCTTTGAGCAAGTCGTCAAGTTCTTATGCCTCAGTTTCATTCTCACATAGTTTTTCCAAAGCAATAGTGATAATTAAATGCAAATAAAGCTATTCTTCTGTAGATTCTGTTAGAAGCATCTCAAGATTGGTTATGTTTTCTTTCCTGGGTGCTTTCCTCAGTATTAGTAGCTATGGAGTTAAAATAGATTTCAAATTTTCCTGTTTATTGCATCAGAAAAATACATAATGCAAATGTGTGGTGAGTTAAAAATGTACTTTGATGTCCTTTTCATTGCTTTTTCCTACTGCTAGAAGTCAGTACTTTTAGGATACACCTGTTCCAGTTTTCAAGTATGTTTGCTTTTGAGACAGGGTCTCCTTTAACTTACTAGCCTCCAATTCTTTTTCTCTTCCCGTCTCAGCCTTCCACATGCTGGAAATATAAATGTGCCTCATTACTCCTGGCTCTGTGTGTGTTTGTATGAGTGGGTGTGTAGGCTTGATGGTTGAGAAATCAGTGGTACCTTGAAATTTAGGAAATACATTGAGGTGATTGTCTAGCTTCTACCTTGAGGGGCCAGTCTCTAGAATTGGGGCTATATAGTAGTGCTTTTGTAGGTCCAGTAGGTCTGGAACTCTTTATCAGGCTGACCTCGAAGTTGTAGAGATCCATCTGCCTGCCTTTGCCCTCTAAGGTTCTGTAGTTTTTCTTGCAAAGCTGTGTTCTGTTAATATCCAAGGTCTCTGAGACAAAGAGGCTAAGGAAACAGAATCGATATTAGGGAAGAAACAAGTCTTTATTATTCTATCTAGCCTATCTTTCCTTTGGCTTAGAGGGAGTGAAGCAGGGAGGGTCTGGTGGTTTGGGCTTCAAGTTTGGATGAGGCTGCTCTGGACCACCAGTTGAAGTACTGGAGGGCATCTTTTCCTTACTTTCTGTACATTCAGAAAGAAGGCCCTCTTCAGAGAGAGGGTGCTTACTCTTGCATTATTCATCTGGTTGGGAAGGGATGGAGTTGAGTTTCCTCACTTCTTAGGGTTACTAGATTCTGCCTGGCGCCTGACCCTTGGGCCTCATGGTGGGACTGTGGGTGCCAGCTGGTTGCAGAGAATTTTCCTGAGGGGTTGCTGAGTTTCTTCAGGAAAACATCAATGGGTCTCTTGATTCCCCAGCCTCTAGCCCTGCCCCTCTCAGGGACGACCCTGGGGTCAGGCCCCTCAACCCTCGAGGGGGACCAGGAGCCAGCCTCCTCTGTCTTCTCTGGCTCCTCAGCTCCTCTTGAGCATCTTCAGGTATCTTACACCCCTGGGGCATTTCCAGGCTCTGTCCCTTTGGTCCCTTCAGAGTCCTTTGGGACTCAGGTGTGGACCCAGGAAACCTGTTGTCTCCCTCCATTAAATCCTTTCCCTGGGGGCGGGGGCTCCCTGGGTCCTGGCATAGTCACCAGCACGCAGGGTGGGCTGGGCCTGCACGTTCTTCCCATTCATCCCATCTCTTCTTACACTTGTCCAGAAAGGGACAAGGAAAATCGCCATCGGAAGCGCAGCCACAGCCGCTCTAGAAGCCGGGACCGGAAGCGCAGGAGTCGGAGCCGAGATCGGCGTAACCGAGACCAGCGCAGTGCCTCCCGAGACAGACGAAGGCGAAGGTACTAGAACTTTGGGAACTCTGGCTGGGCTCCTATCAGAGCCTGGGTCTGCATGACTGTTCTCTGTATGGGTGCTGTTTGGTCTGCCTTGAACTTGGTTTTTTCTATTTCTGTTTTTTTCTCCCCAGTTTCTCTTTTGGCAGTACCAGTGGGTTGCTGGGGCCAATAGTTCCTGGGGACAGGGAATAGTTTTGGGATCTCTCTCTCTCTCTCTCTCCCCCTCTTTCTCCCTCTCTCTCCCTCTCCCCAAGGCTGTCCCTGTCTTTGAGGGTACAGTTGTATTTTCTTGCTATGGTTCTATTTGGGGCCGTCTTGGAGAGCACTTGTCCTGTTTCCTCCACTTCCTAGGAGTTCTGGAGTAGGGCAATATCTGAAGCCTGGGCTTTAATTTCCAGCTCAGGGTTGTTGGTCTAGTTATTCAGTCTCATCTTGCCTTCCGGGTTCCCCTCATTCTCTGTGTTCCTCTTAGGTAAGGAAGTGTGGGATATCTAAAGAGTCTCATCTTAGTTTCTCCATAGAATGGCCTCGTCACTTCCTGTTGCTTCTCCTTCCTCTTTCCTGGGAGTAGTAGGATTGGGGGGTGGTTGGCAGGGCCGAGGGGACCTGCATGCTACTTGCTCTCCTCGGTCCTGCCTCAGTCCTGGGGTTCAGTGACCTTGGGCGGGGTGTATTTTGTGGGGAAGACAAAGGTCCCCAGTCACTCCTCCCCATACCTTTCCCTCCCACCCCCCAGCAAACCTTTGACCAGAGGCGCTAAAGAGGAGCACGGTGGATTGATGTGAGCTTCTCTTCCTGCCCCTTCTACCCCATGTCCACTCCCTTCTCCTTCCTCACCTGTGCATCTTGCCTGCCTTGCATCCCCACCCTGGCCCGAGCACTGGGGAAGAGTCTCATCTGCCAGTGTCCCTCCCTAGGTCCAGGCCCAGCTCTCCCTCTTGGAGAGAGTGGAGCTTGTGTGGGAGGGTGTGGAGGGTTGGGGGGGGGTGCTCCTAGCAGGGTCTTGCAGACCTGGTGTTGGTCAGACTGAGGTTACCCTGCCCCACTTTCCCTTCCCCCTTCCCCAGTCGTTCCCCCCGCCATGAGAAGAAGAAGAAGGTGCGTAAATACTGGGACGTGCCACCACCTGGCTTTGAGCACATCACCCCCATGCAGTATAAGGCCATGCAAGGTAGGTTCCCCATTCTCCTCCATGGGCTGTTGTAGAGGTTAAAATTGGGACATCTCTTCCACAGGTTGTGTGTGTGCATTGGTGAGACTAAAGGACCTTACTCGAGGGCTTCTGGCACTTACCTGTTCAGGGTAGCCATGATGGAAGAGGGAATTAAGTCTTCTTTACCAACCAGGCCTCTAGGAAACTAGACTTCTTAGCTTGGGCCTTGCTGCTGAGTTGGGCTGACTGATTGAAGAGCTTCTAAATGAAGTGGGTTAGAGAGTGGGTATGTGGGGTCAGTGTATGCTGAATGATCCTGGTTTTAGGGCCGCTCTAATAGGGTTTTACTGTTTACACCCATCCTGAAGCTGCGGGTCAGATTCCAGCCACTGCCCTTCTCCCCACTATGACTCCTGATGGTCTGGCTGTGACCCCAACGCCTGTGCCTGTTGTTGGGAGCCAGATGACCAGACAGGCCAGACGCCTCTACGTGGGCAACATCCCATTTGGCATCACTGAGGTACTGCCCTCCTCCTGCCCCTGCCCTCTCCCCTGTTCCCCTACCCTGTTCCACCCTCCCTCCATTCCCTTTCCCCAACCTGCACGGGTCAGACTCTGTTCCTGCAAGACCCCCCGGCCCCCTCCCAGACGGACGGATGGAGTTGAGCCAGCCAGGGGCCGGGCTGGGGGTGGCCCCTCCCTCCCTCCTCTTCCCCCTCTCCCGTCTCCCTTTCCCCAACCTCCTCCCACAACCCAGGGATCAAACACACACATAACGTACCTACCTACATATTATACCTACGTGTTGGAGAGAGACAGAGAGGGAGACTCGACACACATACACACAGACGCACGTCCCTGCAGTTTTTCTGACATGCTCTCCTTTTCTGCCGTCTATCCACATCCTTTCCCCCCACATCCCTCCCATGGTCGCTGTTCTTTTATTTTTGATAGCCCTGACCTCCCCCACCTTCCCCACCGCTCCTCTCCCCCATCCCTCTCCCCCACCCCTTCCCGTGGCACCCCTGAGAATCCCGAGATCAAAGAGTTGTTTCCATTTCTCTTTAAAGTGAAATATTGTGGGGCTGAGATCCCTCGTAGCAACAAAAAGTTTGCTACCATCGTCGAAGGCAAGTAAGGTCCATTCTGACTTTCTCAACCTGCACTTTGCTACATTTGATAAACCAGCCCCCGGACTCCAGGGCCAGATCCCTCCACATCACTCTTTTCTCCTCCCCTCCCGCCCTACCCCTCCCTCCCCTGCTCCTCCATTCCTCCCTGCCCTGCACTCTACTCCTTGCTCTGCCTTTCTCTGGGCTCCCTTTCTGTCCATGTGCTTGTCTGTCTTTCTCTTCCTGCCTGTTGGCTCTCCTGCCTTCCCCCGCCTTGTCTGCACCTGGTGTTTCTTCCTTGTGTCATCCTCATGTATTTCTTTCTCTTGCTGTCATGTGTTCTTTCCATCTTTTCTTAAATAACTTTCCTCCTAATTTTTTGAACTCCATGGCTTACCCACTCATGCCTGTCCTGTCTGGCCTGTTTGCTTCTGTCTCCTGTCCTTGGTATTGCTTCCTCTCTGTTTTCTCATTTTCCTCCTGCGTTTGTTCCTACTATTGACCTCTATACCCCTGACCCATATTCCACTGTCCCTTTCCCTCCCCCTTCTCCCTCCCCTCAACCCTCTCCCCTTACCCCCAAACCCCTCTGTGTCTCCCTCTCTCACCCTTCCCCTCCTCTCTCCACCTCCCTCCCCGCCCTCCCCTGTCTCCTATTCCCTCTGCAGGAAGCTATGATGGACTTCTTCAACGCCCAGATGCGCTTGGGGGGATTGACTCAGGCCCCTGGCAACCCAGTCCTGGCTGTGCAGATAAATCAAGACAAGAATTTTGCCTTTTTGGAGGTGAGCTTTCCAGTGATGGAGTAAGGGATAGTGGGGCTTGTCTGTACTGTCCACGCTGGCTGCTCTCTCTGCATCCAGTTTGCATTTGGTTGCTGTAGCAGCTCTGCAGTCCCCATCCTGCAGCACACCTTCCTATGTTCTCTCTTGCCTGGGAGGCCTTTTTGGGTTCTGCTTGGTTGGTTGGTTTCTGCAGGCTATTCTGGCCCAGTTCACTCTGCTTAGGCTACACTGACATTGCAGAACACACAATCTGTCTTATTCTGTTTGGGGCATAAGTTGAAGCAGTTCACTCCAGATGTTTATAAGTCTCCTTTCAAAGCAGTTACTCTTTTATTGTCTCTAAAGACCTAGCTTTCAACTTTTGGGCCATACCCAGGAAACAGTGGATGTGCTGAAGTGATCTAGTTTGCTGAGGTGTTTGAGTGCTTCTCCTCAGTGCACTTGCCCATCAGAATCTGCTTTATTTGAACTGTTGGAGACTTCAGCTTAAATCATTTCATCAGAAAGCCTGGGCTGTCACTGCCACTGACTTAGTTGACCTAATGTCCCAGCGCTGACTTCTTTAGCAGTTGGTCTCTTTCCAGCGTTGTCTGTCAGAGCTAATGATTGTGTGCTTGCTTTCATATGTGTTGGGTGCCAGGATATTTGCTTTCTAGAGTATGAACTTCTAGGGACAATCTTGTGGCTGTTCTTCCATTGGCCAGTCCAGGGTTTGGTACATGATACTTGTTTATACAAGTGGGAGGAAAGTCACGGTATTGGGGGTTGGGGAGCGGTTTAATCTAGTCCCTGCCTACCCCTTAATTCTACCGTTCTTTTTCCTTCAGTTCCGCTCAGTGGATGAAACGACCCAGGCCATGGCCTTTGATGGCATCATCTTCCAGGGCCAGTCATTGAAGATTCGAAGGCCTCATGACTACCAGCCACTGCCTGGCATGTCAGAGAACCCCTCTGTTTATGTGCCTGGTGAGTGGGAGTTTGTTGGTGGTGGTGGGGTGGACTCACTATTCCCTGAACTCAGATTCCTCTCTTTAGCCTAGCTAGAGTTGCTTAGGAGATCGTTGTTGGACCCTATGGGTATTTCTCCAGCTTAGCCTGGACCTCTGAGGTGATGAGCTGTGATCTGAGAATGCATAGCTTGTAAATATCAGCCAGGTACAGACCAGAGGTGTTATAATGTGTGGGGCTTGCAGTCTGTTCCTGCCTTTGGTCCTGGAATTTCAGGGCTTGGTGTGTAAGTCTCTATCTACAGGTATATATTAACAGACCTCTGCACAGTCCTGGTGTGTGGACCTAGCATGCCAGTGCTCAAGTCCTGGTGTGTGGACCTAGCATGTCAGTGCTCACTGACTCCATGTCTGTCTGGCATGTGCTCTGGGCTGTTTCCTGTAGTTGAATTTACTATCACCTCTGATAGTAGGTCACAATAGATCTTTAGTTTGAAACCTACAGATAGGGTCATAGAAAAGTAGGTCACTGAAAAAATAGATTTTGAACATTCTACATTAATCTTTTAGAGTTTAAAAGGCTCTGCGTCTATGTCATCCTGCAGGCTGTAGTTTGCTGAGCTAGCATTTGGCAGACTAGATGGGATATAAGAAGAGATATGTAGGGCTGGAGAAATGGCTCAGAGGATAAGAGCACTGACTGTTGGTCCTGAGTTCAATTCCCAGCAACCACATGGTGGCTCACAACCATCTGTAATGAGATCTGGCACCCTCTTCTGGCCTGCAGGCATACATGGAGGCAGAATGTTGTATACATAATAAACAAATAAATCTTTTTTTTTTTTTAAAAAAAGAAGAGATATGTAGGCCATTTGCCCTGCTAGACTGCAGGAATCAATTATAGTGTTGGGGTTCTAGCTAAGTAAGTGATGCCCAGGACTGAGACTGATTGGAACTTATAGAATGTGGGGTCTTGCTGTTTGATGCTCAGAATTGGAGGATGCCCATTGAGGCCAAATCTCCCCTTCACTTTAGGGTAGGGAAACGTTCTGTCAGTCTGGGACTTGCTACTCTAAAACTAACTAATGTTCCTCAGTGTACTTCTTGAAGATTCACTGTGGTCCTGGGAATTGAACCCAAGGTCTTGTGCTTGATTGGAAAGCATTTTCTCTCTGACCTGAATCCCTTACCCCCTTTAAGCTTTTTTCTTAAGATAGGGTCTCACTAAGTTTGCCTAGACAGGCCTGGAGTTTGGGAGCTTCCTACCCCTAGCTTCCTGAGTAATTGGGATGATAGGCCTGTGTCACTAGGTTCAGCTTTCTCAGTGACTGTGGGCATATCTCTCAGATGAAGCTATAGAACATCTTGTTTCTGCCTCTTGCCACCAAATTCACTCTTTGGATTGGCCTTTAATTACATAGGCATCCACTTGCTGGTTTTACTGTGTAGTATGCAGGTCTGCCTGTCTCTGGATCTTCTGTTAGCCTTCTGTCAGCATATGTTAAGTAAGTAGTCTGCCAACTGGATGAGATATCCTCAACCTTTTCCTTGTATTTTGAGGCAGGGTCTTTGAGTTGCCCAGAGAGGGCTTGAACTATCGGCCCTTCTGCATCAGCCTGCTGTGTAGTTGGGATTATAGTCTTGTCCCAGGAGGCCTGGCTGTAGAGTTTTCTGTATATGGGCTAACTGGGTATCCCAGACTTGTTTGCCAAATTGACTCCTTGCCCTCCAGTGTTGGGATCACAAGCATGTGCCATACAACACCTGCCCTGTCAAGTGTTAATCATAGTTTGACATGGCATCGTCTGAAGAAGGTGGAGGAGGAAAGCCAGGAATTATGCTTTTTTTGTTGTTGTTGTTTGTTCATGGTTGTAAAATTCATAGGTATCCTGGGCTGCACAGGTTGGCCCTGGAGTCTCTGCTCAGCTTTTCTGTTTTCTCCATGTTAACCTTTCTGCTGAAACATGTAGATGCAGGCACAGCTGCTTTGGGTCATACTGCTAAGTGGCAAGCTTCTTCCTCAGTGATTAAGCAATAGGAAGATGAGTCTTTCTCTTTGGGATGCGCCTACCTGAAGAGGCTTGGCTTTCCAGCTAGCTGTGCCTGTGATTTGGCACAGCATTACCACTCTGGAGAAGGCAGCAGCAAGTGGAGTTCTGCCTTTATGTCCTCTATCTTCTGAACTTCAAAGGAGAACAAATGTTACTACATAGACTCAAAAGGAAAATGTTTGATGAAATCTAATAAACATCTTTTTTTTAAAGTATTTATTTATTTATTTATTGTGTATACAATATTCTGTCTGTGTGTATGCCTGCAGGCCAGAAGAGGGCACCAGACCTCATTACAGATGGTTGTGAGCCACCATGTGGTTGCCGGGAATTGAACTCAGGACCTTTGGTAGAGCAGACAATGCTCTTAACCACTGAGCCATCTCTCTAGCCCCCCTCTAATAAACATCTTGATCATTGGTTAAAAAATAATTTGTAAATTGGAAGGCTGACTTCCTCCCTAGTGAGAGTGTGTGCACTGGTAACTAGATTGCTATAACCTGGAGTGGAAGCCTGAGCTTTATTTCCACAGAAGTGAAGCTCTTCTCGGTCACCAGTGTTGGCACCTTGTGTCCTTTGGATTAGGGGTTAAGTGACTTACAATGCTGTCTATGTGTGCTGTGTAGTGTGGTGTTCTTCCTATTTTTGTAGGTGTAGAATTGAACACAGGGTACCTTCTTTGGGTCCTACCTTGGGCTGCCTTTGAGATATGGCACAGTGATTACCAGATTGGGCTTGGTCCAGCTGCCGCTGTAACCTGCCTTACTCTTTACTTGGTGGGGGGGAGCCAAGCCTCCCGAGCTGCCTTTGAAAGGCACTGTTGAGTTGGGCGCTAGAAAGTCACCTTTTCGTACTTCTAAGACTTCACTCTTTTTGTATTATAGCTGGGAATATTTACACCTACTGAGGTAGATTTTTTTTTCTAGTTTCATTTTATGTGTATGAGTGGTTTTGCCTGCATATGTGTCTGTACCATATGCATGCCTGGTGCCCAAGGACGTCAGAAGAGATAGTTGGATCCCTGGAACTGGAGTTATGGATGATTGTGAGCCATAACGTGGATACTGGGGAGCTGAACCTGGGTCCATTTCAAGGACAACAAGCGTTCTTAACTGTTGACCCATCTCCAGTCCCAGATGGTAGATTTTTAAAGTAGTTGTTCCTGGCTTATGGCAGCACCGAATATGACCTGGTTCTCAATGCTTCTGCTTGTCACGGTGCACTTGAACTAGGTCTTTTGTGGTCTATATGACTCTACTACTGGGGTATGGCTCTGGTGTTTAGAAGTATTTAGATTGATGTCTGCAATTTTCTGGGGCTAAAGAGTTAAAGTAGGGCCAGTGATAGCCTGGAGGATGGATAGGACACAGTGGCTGAGGTTCTAGGGTATGCCTATAATATCTTACCCGATGCTCTTGTAGATTAGGAGGGACCGCTCTACTTAGTATGGGGGCGAGCTGGAAAGGGAGACTACGTAGTGAGATGTTTGAACTCTGAGGAGTCAGACTGGATTGGTGCTGGGCCAGATGATATCTCTGAGACTTAAGTGATAATATTGGTGTCACACAGAACTGTCTGGCCAACACTTACCCACATGGGTCCAGATTTGTGTAGAGAAGGCAAACAAAACTCCCTCTAGTCACCACTGAAGTGGCAGCCAACACTGAGATTCTTAGCAGCCTTCCAGCTCCTTGTTAGACTAGCTCAGAAACAGGCCACCCCTGCAGTGAATGAGATGTTTCTGGGTGTTTGTCAGATCTTAGGGGATCTTTCATGTTCAGGTGTTGCTGTTCTATGCTCATGTGTTTATCAGAATATAGGGGTGTGTGTGGAAAGTGTGTATACTGTGGCTTCCTCCCACCTTTATTTATTAGGTATCTCAGGTAGGATAGGACTTGAAAAGGGACTCAGATTTTTTTTGAGACGGCTTCCTGCCTTAGCCTTCCAAGTGCTGACAGACAAGCATGTATGTCACCACTTCCAGCTTTCTCCTTGCATGTTGGGAAATGACTGTACTGGAATTGAAGTCTTTATACATTTTGTCTTTAGGTGTTGTGTCTACTGTAGTTCCAGACTCTGCCCACAAACTGTTCATTGGGGGCTTGCCCAACTACCTGAATGATGACCAGGTAAGTCCTCTGCCCCCTTGCTAGCCTCCCATCTCAGCCTGACCAAACCTTGATGGATTGTTGGCCTCTTGCAGGTGAAAGAATTGCTTACATCCTTTGGGCCTCTGAAGGCCTTCAACTTGGTCAAGGATAGTGCCACAGGGCTCTCCAAGGGCTATGCCTTCTGTGAGTACGTGGACATCAACGTCACAGATCAGGTGAGCTCTGGGTGCCTAGCTGTTTGCTCCATTTGCCCTTCTTAACTTTACTGTTTCCAAGCCTAGGTCTCCTCCTTGGGCTAAGGTGGGAGGTGGTTAGCCTGAAGCAAGGCCTTGTGGGGGCTCATTCCTTTTCCCTTGGTTTTGCCTCTTTCCAAACTAAATGCCCTTTGCCTTCCATTCTTTCCCCACCAATGCCTGGTTCTTTGGGGGAAGTGCTGGGTCCCCTGGTTCCTGACCTGTGCCTCTCCCGCACCCCTTCCACCCTTCGTCCTCTGATCATAGGCCATTGCGGGGCTGAATGGGATGCAGCTAGGGGACAAGAAGCTGCTTGTCCAGAGGGCGAGTGTGGGAGCCAAGAATGCCACGCTGGTGAGCCTCCCGGCACGTCATCTTCCATTGGCTAGAGGGACCTTGGGGGTGGGAAGGGTTGGATGGGAAGGTTTTCTTAAGTTTTGCCCCAGTTTTCATGGGAGGGGATTTGGGCAATTGGGCAATGAGTTCATAAGTGTCTAAGTAGAGGAATGGTTCCCCTTAGTTGGTGTGAGAGGCACAGGCTTGAATGGAGGGAGGCTAGTCTGAGCCATTTTGTGACATCTCTGTTCTCCCTGACCCCACAGAGTACCATCAATCAGACACCTGTAACCCTTCAAGTGCCCGGCCTGATGAGCTCTCAGGTGCAGATGGGCGGTCACCCGACTGAGGTCCTATGCCTCATGAACATGGTGCTGCCTGAAGAGCTGTTGGACGATGAGGAGTACGAGGAGATTGTAGAGGATGTGCGAGACGAGTGCAGCAAGTATGGGCTGGTCAAGTCCATTGAGATTCCCCGGCCCGTGGATGGCGTCGAGGTGCCTGGCTGTGGAAAGGTCAGGGTGCTCTCCTTGTTTTGTGTGCCACCCTTATCACCCTCTGCATCCCTCAGCATCCTTCTAGCTCTGACCAAGGGTGATGCAGGGGCTCTGGAGAGTGAGTGCAAGGCCTTTTGGGAGTTTGTGGCCTGTAGGCGAGAATTTGGTCTCTATATTAATGTAACTTAGTTCAAAACCTATTTTTACTGTTCCTTGTTGGATACTTTTGCAAGTAGCTTTACTTTCCTTTTGTCTGTGAGCTGAAGAGAAAGGGACCACCACATACAGTCATGTGTCTCATGTACCAGGTACTCCTTGAAGCTGCTCTGTTATTTTCATTGGCTCCTGAACCTCTTCATAGGACGTGGCACAGAAGTGACAAGCCACAGCTAGGCATCACATGCATGTAATCTTGATTTTAGAGGCCTTACCGCTTGTGCACTGTGTTAAGTTTATGTAAGCTCTACACGTCTGCTTTGGAAGGTGCTACTGAGGGTTGACAGCATTCTTACTCTGTTTTTCCACAAACAGCTGGGGACACTGTTTTGCCAGGCAGTAACGGGAAGGGTGGGAATTAAAGTTGCCTGATTTCCTTTATTTTCTTTCTGGTGCTAGAGATGGGGTCCAGGACCACTCACATACTAGCTAGGCAAATAAATGTTTTTCTACTGAGTCACATCCACAGATCTAGGTTCTAGATTTAGGTAGGCAGTAGTGTAAGTTTCAGTGAGATGAAGTTATCTTGCCAGGCAGTCTGTCCTAGGTGGAGGGACAGAAAGCAGAGACCTCAGGTATGATTGCTGTGCATGTGGTGGTTCGTAGGGTATATTCAAAGTAGGGGAACTCCCACCCCAGACAGGGTTTCTATGTACCCTTAACTGTCCTGGAACTCTTTCTAGACCGCTGCTGGCCTTGAACTCAAAAGTCCACTTGGCTCTGCCTCCCAAGTGCTGGGATTAAAGGGTCACATCACCACTGCCAGACTAAAGTAGGGATTTGCTGTGTCTTTGTAGAGCTGATTACTGTATGGCAGATGTGTGAATAAGTGAGAGACAGGATGTTCAACCTTGGTGTGGTTGAAAGGAGCATAACTTTGCAGGAAGGACTAGGGGGAGCCTTATAAACTTGCTGAAGAAGCCTCAGACTTTAACCTAGAAGAGTAGGGCTTTTAAGGAGAGAGAAAAGCTAATGGGAAGGATGCCAGGTAACTTGATAAATGTATGGGAGGCATGAGTCAGGTGATTGATGGATTTATTGTATTAACCTGAGAGAAAGATGGTGGTCTGCTTTAAAGGTATGGTCCTTTAAAACAGTGTGATGTGTTTTAGTCAAGGACATACTGAGTATCGTCCTGTAAGGTGGTATCATTTACTGATACTTAGTTGTTTGTATCTTCCATAAACTTGAAGTGGTGAAATTGCCCAGTGACATTCTGAAATTGTTGGTGTCCATAAGTGGTGTGTTGTTGGCTGTAATAGGTGATGAGAGAAATGGATGAGTTGGGGAGGTTTGATCCTTTAACTGCCTATATCTTGATGATTGGTATGGGTTTGTGGAGATGGAGAGGGAGAAAGGCCCAGGAAACTGAGTGTCAGGTGAGGTGGAGGGCAACAGCCAGTTTTGGGCCAGCTACCTTTGAGTTTGCTTAGATGATACCCTGATAGAGACTGTTAGGAAGCAGTTAGCTGGATAGAAGGAAACTGCAAGAGGATGAGGACGGATAGAAACTCTTGTGTGGGAATTCATAAGGGGAGGCTGAGCAAGTTTCCAGTGCACCTTGGAAATTCAACAGAGATAGATGTGTGGGGTTGAAGTGGGGGTACAGGAGTCAAAAAGAAGACTGTAAAAGCCTCCTTCCTGCTTCTGTGTGATTTGATGTGATGCAACTATTGGTCTGATATAGTCTGGCACCTTATGGAAGCCTGGCTTAAGTGGGGATTGAGTACAATACAGGAGAAAGAGTGAATGAAAAGACTGGCTTCTTGAGCAGCTGTCTTTTTTTTTTTTTCCTTCATTTGACACAGGGTTTTGCCATGTTGCCTAGGCTGACTGACTTTGAACCTTCAGGCTTTGGCACTAGAAGCATACATTACCCATATCCATTTTATTTTTGTTTTATTTATGGGTCTTTTTGGTGGTGGCATATGCCTTTAATCCCAACACTCGGTAGGCAGAGGCAGGTGGATCTATGAGTTTGAGGCCAGCCTGGGCTACAGTGCGAGTTCCAGAACATCTAGGACTATTACACAGAGAAACATGCGGATGTTTATAGTATTTATCACCTAGCTCTAAGTTACCAATATTGTTGGGAGTGGTTTTGTTTCTGCTCTGAGATGGGGTCTTGTATAGCCCAGGGTGGCCTTGGACCTATGATCCTGCCTTAGCTTCCCTGGTGCTGGAATTGCAGGTGTGTATCCTTACACCTGGCTTATCAGTACTTAAAGCATGTCTCAGAGTTCATCTTAGAAATATAGCTGTATTTTTCAATTATTGACATTTTGGGATAGATAAGTATTCTAGGGTTTGGCCATCTACCAGTAGATGCCACACTCTTTGTGACAACAGACATTGCTTATTACCTTGTGGGGACATGTTCTGTCCCTGGTTGAGAACCAGTGTTGTAACTAGCTAACTTTAGTTTAAAACAAACACGCCGGGTGGTAGTGGTGCGTGCCTTTAATCCCAGCACGCAGGAGGCAGAAACAGGTGGATCTCTTGAGTTTGAGGCCAACCTGGTCTACAAGAGCTAGTTCCAGGACAGGATCTAAAGCTATAGGGGAACCTGTCTCAAAAAGCCCAAAGAATGCTGTTACTACTGCAAAACAATCTTCATTCATTTCTTAGTATCTATTCAGGTTTTGTTCTGTTTCTAGAATGTCTTCTTTCAATAAGGTCCAGACCCCAAATTTGGTTGCGGTTTGTTTCTTCTTTTAAACAGATTTTTAAAAAAGATTTATTTTTATTTATTATATATACATTATTCTGTCTGCGTGTTTGCCTATACATCAGAAGAGGACATCAGATCTCATAGATGGTTGGTGAGCCACTATGTGGCTGCTGGGAATTGAACTCAGGACCTCATGAAGAACCATCTCTTCAGCCTTAAACAGATTTTTAACTCACTTATTTTTGTATTTGTGCAAACACGGGACAACTTTCAGGAGAGGAGTTAGGCTCTTCCAAAATTGGTCGAGTTGTATGTATAGCAAGCTTTTGGCCCCACAGTTTGTCCTATCAGTTTTATCTCCCCACCCCACTTCCTTTTAAAGTCAAGCTGATTGTTTGTTGAAGTAGGGCTATAGAGTACTTCACTGTATTCATTTCCTGTAAACAGGTAGCATCAGATCAGTGGCTTGAATCCTAATTTCTGACCTTTCTTTATTTACTGTCTTTGGGGAGAGCATGGCTGTGGAATGCCTGATAGAGAAGTGACCACTCTTCTCTGGGATCTTGCCTCTGGCCACCTGCCCATTGTACTCAGGTGACTCAGGCCTGCCTGTTCTCCATTCCTGTGATGTCTCTGTTCTTTGATGTCTTTGGTTTTGGAGAATATTTGGATGAACATCCTTAAACTGAACTGAGTCTTTTCACAGTCTGTGGTGAGCACGGTCTCATTTCCTGTGCTCATTCTGGATTTTAAATATGCTGACTAGTTGATGGGAGCCAGTCTTGTTCACAGATCTGCCTCTTGTTCCTACAGATCTTTGTGGAGTTCACCTCTGTGTTTGACTGCCAGAAAGCCATGCAAGGCCTAACCGGCCGCAAGTTCGCCAACAGAGTGGTGGTCACAAAATACTGTGACCCTGACTCTTACCACCGCCGGGACTTCTGGTAGAGGTGGCCGGGGGAGGGTGGGGGCAGGGCTGGCTGGGGACTTCACCCCCACCTGTCCCCCCCTCCTTTCTCCCCTCTGAAGATGATGGGCAGAGGAGTGACAGCCGAATGACAGCCGGCAGCAACTGGAATGGCAGCAATTATGGGGGGTGGGGGGTGGGGGGGCTAGGGCAGGAAGGGGACTGGGCAAGTGCACACAGGCCCACATAGACACATGCACCCACACAACAGACACAGAGGGAAGGGGCTGGGATGGGGACTGTGTGCACAGCAGGGCGGGTAGGACCCCCACAGCCCCGTCTCAAACAGCCTCTTCTTATCCCTTACACCCTTTTCCTCGGCCCTTTCCCCATGGTAGGAACATAGCGTGTTTATATTTTATGGCCAAACTATTTTGAATTTTGTTGTCTGGCCCTCAGTGCCCTGCCCTCTCCCTCTGCAGGACCCGTCCTCTGGCTTTTGGTCCTTCCAGTTCTCCACCCTGGTTTCTTTAGTTGATTCTTTAGCCTTTTCCTGACCCCCAACCCGTTATCTCTGTCCCGCTCCTCCTCTCTGTGGCAGTTTCATATTTGCTAATAAGAATTTGCTCATTAAACATTTTGTTGTATTTTACTTTATGGAGCCCCTTCTGTGTCCAGTGTGTCCACTCTTCTCTTTGGTCGTGGTTGTGGAGGGTGGCTCTCAGGGAGGGAGGGAGGCAGGCCTGAGGGTCTCTTGCGAGTGCCAATCCTATAGGCTTCAAGTGATAGCACGGAAGGTTCGCGCGTCTCCACAGCTAAATGGGTTGATGCGGAAGTGACGTGGGGACACAGACGCAGTCCGGTGCGCCGGAAATGATGCCAGAGTGGGTTTGGTCGCGGAAGTAGAGGCCGCCGGGTGAGGTGCAGAGGGCGGGGCGCGTGGGGTCATTTCCGCTTCCGGTCCGTCGCCACCTTCGGTTGCTTCCCGTCCGCTCGGCGGCTCCCCTCCCCCTCCCCCCGCCCGGCTCTCCGCGCCCCTCCCGGGCGCCGGGGCGGCGGGGCCGGCGACCCGCCGCCCGCACGGCATCCATCCGAAAGTGGCGACGGACCGGAAGCGGAAATGACCCCACGCGCCCCGCCCTCT